GGTGGTAAGTATGCTTACCACGGCCTTCAAAAGGGTTAAATGCCATGAGGTCACCGCTGACCGGCCCTGAGTTTGTTCGTAACGCTACGGGGGTCACGGGTGACCGGCGAAGCCAAGATTATTAGAAACACATAATTCGAGTACATTTTTAATTTTTTTATATTATTATCGTTACTAAAATGGTTTGAAGAAATTAATGCAGTATAGAACACACAAAAATAATTTCACTTATATACATAGAGATGCCTACTTGCTCCTGACAGCGAATAAATATTTTCAAGTGGTAGTTTATAAATTGTGATTCTTGGTTTAATAAATTCAATTTAGTAGATTTTTATCCACCACTATTCCTAAATAATTCGTAGGCTTATATAATTCACCACTTTTTTCATAACAGTCATGAAACCTTTTAAAAGACTAGCAAAATCTGCCTAATAATTGCAAAGTTAGCTTGTAGTTTTTTACCGTTTGGCCCGACGGGCAAGCCATATCAAATTAGAGTGGCATTCAACATGCTAAAATGAAAGCAAATCTAGAAATCATTTTGATTTAAATTTAGAAATCTTTTTATTTTTATTTTGTAAGCTTGATTTTTAATTATTTTGACCACGACTATATATAATAAGTTCACACAACATACCTGTGACTTGGCCATTTATTTCTAGAAAAAGGTAAATTAAAGTATTTTTGGAATTGAAATTGTTTTAAGAATAATAGTTGATATAAGAAAAGAAAAACTAATTTAGTTTATGAAAATGCCATTTTTTTTGGTGGTAAATATATTTCACACAACCTATTAGGAACTTATTAACTTTTATTTTTCTTTATTTATAAAATAAATTTTATAAATGCTGCAAACTTCAAAGGAAATTATGTATTTAATAACTTTTATGTGTTTTTTAAACTAACAAATGGTTATCAATTTTATTTAAACGCACATCGAGAAAGCCGAAGTTATTAACAAATTGAAACCTAAATTAAAAGTGATAAAAAAGTGGTGGTATGTATGCTTCCCACTTCCTTCGAAAGGGTTAGTTGCTAACAAAAGTAAGCATTTGTTAGGACTATTTTAATAATAATTTCACTAAAATTGTTTACCTTACTCGGAAAAGAGAAAATACTGGTAGTATTAAAATGATATCATTTCTAGCTTGTTTTCAAGAGAAGATGGACGGAAAAGATGATGGTAGCTTCAGTTTAACTTGTTTAAGGGCATCTCTTGTTCAAACTATTCAACCGTATATTCAAAATATTCAGTAATATCTATATTACTCTTTCTCAGGAAATTTTCTTATTAACAAAAAACTGGGCACCCTATCCCACACATCATGAAAATATTTACGGACAGTGAATAAAAACATTTTGTGTTAAGCAACATTTTGGTAGCTTTGTCAAAAAGAAACCAAGCAATTTGCTTGATAAATAAAACATTTTGCATTACAGTAGATTTAGATATGAGAATTTATGTACAGGCATGATTTGAAAATATACGTTGCTCTCAGGAAATAAGCAGCTTTATTGTAAAAAAAAATCTCGGTATTAACAGAAATTTATTGTTTCTCAAAAAAATACTAGAATGAAATACCTTTCGTACCAGGTAAAATGGCATGAAAATCCAGATTGAACTAAACTAAACTCAGTGGCGCGACAGCCCATCGAGGGCTAAAGCCTACTGTGCCCATCTCAGTTTTCTTAACCATGGGCTCTGGGGTGCAGGAGCAGATGTTCCGGGCAGGTGGTCAGCCGAACACGGAACCCGCAGTGTTTAGTTCCCAAGCATGCTTGGTACTCATTCATCGACCCACTGAAGGGATNGTTTTCTTGACCTTGGGCTCTGGGGTGCAGGAGCAGATGTTCCGGTCAGGTGGTCAGCCGAACACGGAACCCGCAGTGTTTAGTTCCCAAGCATGCTTGGTGCTCATTCATCGACCCACTGAAGGGATGAAAGGCTGAGTCAACCTTGCCCGGCTCCAGGATCGAACCAGGGACCTGTGGTACGACAGCGCGAAGCGCTACCTCTCAGCCGCCGGGCGTCTAGATTGAGGTTTTAAAAAAATCTAGAATCTAGATAATCTAGATTCTCTAATCTAGATAATCTAGATTCTAGAATTTAAAAAATCTAGATACTAGAATACAGATTGAAGTTTCAAAGAAATTTGAAAATTCTGAATACATAAAAAATTTTATAGCTCACTATTCAAAAAAATTTTCATCATTAACAAATTAATTAATAAAATTTATTTGATTTATCCAAATTTCCCATTGTATTACATATCTGTCTTTGAGAAAGAATGTGAACGAATTATAGTAGTTTAACCAATCATTCAAAAGGTATGAAGAGAAATGTGACACATTAAAACAACATTAGAGTAATAAATTTTTGAGTCGTTATAGTGCTCAAATTATAAAAACCACCACTTTGTCTACCCTTTCCCTTATATTGGGGGTAATAAATCCGAATTCGATGATAAAAGAGTATGATTCCTCAACAAAAAAAATTCGTTTTTTGGTCAAAATAAGCATATCCAGAAAACGTTTGAGCTAACTGTTATATAAATATTAAGAGATTTCGTTGCGATTTTATCAGAGCACTTTACAGAATGAAAATCCGCCTTGCCGTTTTAAAGTTATTATTCTTTTTAAATTGTAAAATTTTGACTACCCCCCATTTTGGCGGTGAAAAATCTGAAATGAATAAAAAAGAAAAGTTGTTCAGAAAAATAGCGTTTTTTGTTCGAAATAAGGATAAGAATCGATTTTTTATTATGACCTCACCATTATATTTCTACAAAAGTTATTAACTGTTTCGATTTCTTTGCAAAACTGGCTGCTTAATTAATTATTTTCATTTGGAATTTTTAAACACCCTATATAGTCTTGAAATGTAACTTTTACGAAAACATTTCCCTACATTAAACTTTTTAAGGAAATTCTCGCATCTGAAAGAAGACAGTTTTATGAATTCCCTTTTAATACTTTTTCTCCCATCAATGTTGAGAGCGGGTTGTTAACGCGGGAGTTCTTTAAAACGGTTCACTGGCTTTTCCAAAGCTTAGAAGAAAGAACCCAGTTGGTTGAAGAAAAACAATTGGTTCGAACGTATGTTAATCCCATTAATTCGGGGGGACATGAGGGGGCTGCAGAAAAGAGGGGGGAGAGCCAGGGAGAGAAGTCTTCTCGGATAAAGGATGATGGATGAGGAACTACGATGAGGACGATGATCAATAGCGTCAGGAATTGTTCCCACCGAGTTCATGCACATGCTTGCTAAGGCTTTTTCGCGAAAAATCGTCTCGCCCGTTTTCACGCTTTCCCGGGTATATACATGGGGCAGTTTTTTTTTTTTTCCTTCGCCAGAAAAACCTCCAGATTGTTTCGGGCAAAGTGTTGCAAAGCGGGTAAAACATTTCCAGGCAGAAGAGAAAAAAAATAGAAGCTGGGTAGAAGGAATTGAAAATTTGTTTCGCCGTGGTTTGATTTTAATCGCCTTCCCACCCCCAAAATCTGCCTATCCCCTTTTCTTACAAAAGAATCCTCTTTCTGTATTTTAGACCGTCCCTGTGCCAGTCTGCATTAAAAAATTGCTGTCATATATTCCAAAACTTAGTTTGAGAAATGGTCTGTTTTGAGTTGTCCCACTTATCGAGGCGTAGTTTAGCAGGCGTGATCGAAAGATTGGGTAAGCCACAATATAAGCAGTAAGGCTTCTGATATAAGAAGAGATGAACGCCACAAAACGTATTGTATTGTAACCCTCGCTTGAAAGGTACTAAGTTTACGGTGTAATCACCATGAACTGTGAATTAGATAGCTACAATAATCCAGTGATATTGAATACTTTCTTTGAAAAAAAATTTTTATGTGCCTTAGAATAGTTCATCCTACTGACTAAACAGCTATCGTTTAAAGAACATCTAGTGAAGAACAAATTTCATGATTAATGTTTCCCAAAATTTAAGTCTCTGAGAGCCTCTCTCACGGAAGCGTTATCGGAAGATTGGGTAATATGCAGTATGATATAAATAGCCATAAAATATAATGTCCATTACTCAATTGGTACTAAGTTTACGGTCTAATCATCATGAATTTGATAGTCACAATAATCCAGTGTTATTAAGTAGTTTCAAAGAAAAAGAAAAGTTCCTTAGAATTGTTCATCCAAAAAAGTGGCTAAAAAAAACTCTAGTGTAAAGAGAAGGACAGAGAATAAAAATTATCATGATAAACTATTTGCCATTAACATGTCCCCATCTAATGTGAAAAAGAAAGCAACTAATGTGTGCTAAAAATGTTGTTTTTTTCATGACTAACGGTTTTCAAAATTTATGTTTTTGTCTCTAAAGGCCTCTAATAGGCAAGGAAGAACAGCAAATGTGTATTAAAAATGTTATTAATTACTAACGCTTACTAATATTTATGTTTTAAGTCACTAAAAACAACTAAACACTGTAAAAAAAAACAATAATTGAGTGTTAAAACTGTAGTTTTTTCATGACTAACATTTACCAAAATTTATGTAAGGTCATAAATAGGATGAAACATTCTGTAAATACTTGTATAAAATGGTTTCATACCTGCCAACTCTTCCGGATTTTCAGGAAGATTTTATTTCATATTTAAAGTGGTAGCAATGCTCAGGTTATTCCAATTAACTTTTTGAATTATAATGACAATTATAAATGAGTTTCACCACCACTACATATAAATAATTATATAAAATAATTATATATATAAAAGCATAATAATCCTTTGCGCAAGCGAATTTCAACGGGATCAAATTATAAATATATCTTTGAGTCAGATAGTTTTTCGTTTATTGTTTTGCAACCACTCTGAAAATCCATTCTCGGAAAGAGAGAAAGTTGGCAGGTATGTGGTTTTATAGACTCATGATTTGGAGTACTGTAGTCGATGAGCATATTATAAGTTCAGTAATTTCTCTTTAGTGTAGTTTTATTTAATTTTAATACTTTTCTAAAATATTTTATTTATTTTTTTAGCTGTCAAACCAGACTACAATGGCTACAACTCAACTACTTCAAACAGCAATGATCCGAATGGAGGACCAGGAACGGGACGAACGAATTTCACGACGAAACAGTTGACAGAACTCGAAAAAGAATTTCATTTTAACAAATACCTAACAAGAGCTAGGCGAATTGAAATTGCTACTGCTCTTCATTTAAATGAGACACAAGTTAAAATTTGGTTTCAAAACAGACGAATGAAACAAAAGAAACGAATTAAAGAAGGCCAGATTCCAGCTGATCTCTCCAGTTCTGGAGGAGAAACCGGTTCCTCACCTCCAGTTTGTCCTATTAATTCTGGTACAGGATCAGTTAGCTCACCTAGTAGTGTTGTTCCTTCAGTTTCTGCAATAACTAGTGGGCCACTAACGTCTCCAGACATCAAACCTGTGTCATAGAATGTTTAATCTGTTAAATCTCCATTCAGTGCTCAAAAGTCCTATTAAAAAGGATCCTTTATGTCCTTTAAATCAGTGTTTGATAATAACTATGGACACTGTACTTGACAGGCATAGAAATGACAATTCTTTAAGTGAATACAATTGGTTGATGTATTTCGAAAAATGAGGGATAACATTGAAATGTGATAACATTTCAAGCTCAAAATTGCTTGAAATTTACTTTTGAAATTCAATTCTCGGTATGTGTTGTTAATTTATTTTTGATTACATTGTTTTGATAATGCTCTATTTGAAACTCTATTAGACAAAAATTTATTTTACAGCTTCAGACTTTAAATAGAAGTTTTAGCGAGTTTATTTTCGCCTCATTTTTTAAAAAGGTCAATTCATAAATTCCTATTATCTTTTCATAAACTTCAAATTAATAAACAAATGTTAAAGGAAAATAGAATTTTTAACTTCAATTTTACTTTTTTTTGTTGTTCTTTTTAAAAAAATTCAGCTTTCTTCTTCATAGAAAAAGTTTTCCACGCACTTAGTGCGTCATTATGAAAATCTTATAGTATTAACTTAGTTTTTGAAAAAAATTAAAACTTTAAAGACAATGAAGCTTTAAAATTGAAAGTTTAAATTAGATATTCTATACTTAATTAATTTCATTTCTTTTTAGCAACAAGTTTTTACTTTTTTAATACAACAGCTCCTGACTGTTCCGACTTTTCCGGAATATTTTTCTAAATCATTTAAAGTGGTAATGAAGTAAAATTTTCTCAATTAATTAGCACTTAACCTCTTCGAGACGGGCGAGTCATATATGCATTCTCAGGGTGGCTACAATCAGGGTAAAAAAATAAAACTGGTAGGCAAAGTGTTTCTATAGCAGTTTATTTGGGGAAGGAGAAATAATAATTTGATTTACTTAATATATCATTTCTTAATTCGAAATAACAATTATATAGTTACACTTTGAACTATCATTAATAAGATATGTTTGAATTAAAGTAAAAGCAAAAACAAGACTGTTAATTTATAAAAAAATAAGCCTGGTCCAAACTTATGCTACCACTTTTTATTTTTAATTTTTTTCCATTTTGATTCTGGTTCCGTACGAATACATGTATGACTCGCCCATCTCGAAAAGGTTAATCGCATCAACTTATTTCCAACAAGTCTTTTATATATATATAAATAACTTATAAATAACTTATGCGTCAAAATCATTTTAAATTTAAAAGTAAATATTGAAATATAAATTTTGCTATCATTAGAAAAACTCTTAGAAATAAAGCAGAAAATTTAGTATCTCTGAATAAAAATTTTCTTCATTGAAATCCATTAAGGAGCTGAATTTGCTGAAGAAATAAGTGTACTGACAATTTCACAAATAATGAAATTCCCTCTAATTACTTTATTTCATTTTACGTCACCTTTTCGTTTATTTAATTCGCACTTACATTTAAAATGAATTGCTATTTTATTATTTTAGACATCTCTAACCTTATGAGGAAAAGTGTGGATATGAATGTTTTGCTTCCGTTAAACAAAAGTCTGAAATAAAATAATTTTGCTACCAGCAATTTATTTTTGTATGTAGGAGTTTATAATTGCGTCACTAAAGTAATTATCCACTGTTCCTAGTTTAATTTCAAGATGAATGGGAAAAGGGCTGTAAGGCATCAGACGCCCAGTTCCACTACAACGAACGAACAAACGAAATAATCCACTGCAGTGACAAAAAAATTTACCCCGTGTACTCCAAATCTAAAATCCCTAGCTAATATTTCAGTACTAAAGGTGGTAGATACGTTGAACGAAAAAACATATTTATCTACTTCTAATAAAAAAAATATATATAAAACTATAACTTAACTATTACATTATATCCGAAAACTGCGTAAATTTGCGCGAATGTCTCAAAGCAGTGGATAGTTAAATGCTCTAAATGTGCCAAGAATTGCGCAGCACTTATGCAATTCACTTTGCCGTAATTCTTTAGAGCTAACTTAAATAAATAAGCGTTTTTATTGTTTATTTTTTTAAAAAATTTTTTTCACCTTCTATAATCAGATCACCGATTTTCAATCTAAGTTTTTAAGTTTAGTTTTTATTATTTATATGCTGCAGAGGAAAATATTACATATCAGCTAACTTTTACGTTTATCTGAAAAGCTATTTTTTAAAATTTTGGAAAAATTACATTTTGATTAATGGAGCTTTTTAATACCTTTTTATTCATTATTATTTTATTTAATAATGGTGGAAAAAAATTTGAATTGTAAGGTATACAATTTTTTTGCATCATTTTAAGCGATGCAATTTTGCATGGCGAAATGTAAAATTTGAACAAACTCGGTTGATTAATTCAGGAGAAATTGAATTTCTAAAATTTCAGATATTTAAAGCTCGATTCCTCAGAAACTATTAGACAAATTTTGCTCAAATTTTGTATTTTGCCAAGTAAAATTATATTCTTTAAAATAATGTAAAACAATTGTGTACCTTACAATTCAAAATTTTTTCGAACATTATTAAACAAAATAATAAAAAATAAAATAATAAAAATAAAATAATAAAAATAAAATAATAAGAAATAAAATAATAAAAAGTAATAAATTTTCACTGAAAGTTATATTTTGCATGTGATTATATCTTTGGATAAACGAATTTTATAATTGTGTGCAAAATGTTTTCAATCAAATAAAAAAGTTTTTGAGATATATCGAAATGTGCAAAAACTAAAATTAGCATTTAAGGGTTCAAACTTTGGAGTACTCTCTTGTCCAAACTATGGGGACTCTATTTCTCAGATTGAGGCTACCCCTAAGTTTTGGGGATCAGAAATCCGAATCCGACAAAAAAAATGGTATGTTTATTCAGGGAAAGTGCGCTTTTGTGACTGATTTCGTAACTTAAAATATCGTCTGCACTTGTTAATAAGCATATTTGGAGGCACCCCCTTGAGCCATTAAGATTGAGTCCCAGAACGTGAAGGTCCAATCATTAGATCAAAAGTTATTCAGGGTGATCCTTTTTCTTTCGCACTGTACATTTAAGGGTAAATGCTCTACAACTTTTTTTTTCTTCTATAAAGGCACCTTTTACATCCTTGTATAATGTTCTTTAACGTTAGACTTAATATGAAACATAAATGCAAACTCTCAGAACTTTTGGGGGGATTGTATATCTCGATATAAAATGATAGCAAAATTAATATTTTAATATTTTTGTCTTGATTTAATGAAGTTGATATTAAGTTATCGTGGGTTTTTCTACCACAACATATATATAATTTAAACAAATATAAATCATTACAAGTATATTAAGCTTATAATATATGAATAAAATATTTAAGGTGTTTAAGTCATTCTTGCACATTTTATTAATTTATCAAACTATATATGGTATGATTCAAGAAAAACATTGTTTCTAAAATTATATCTTTTCTAATTCAACTAAACATTTGAATTCAGCAATAAAAAAAATTGGTTGATGTTTAAAGATGTGAAATAAAGTATATTGTTACTCCTAAAAAACCATATTTAACGTGTGATATGGTTAATGTAGCAGAAATTGTAAAATTATTTTAAGATTTACAGTATTGTTTGCACCGTTTTTTTTTCTAATGGTGCATTGTTATGTTTTACTTTATATTGTTGACAAAATACTCAAATTTAATTTCATTTGCAAATAGTGAGAAATTCAGCAAAAAATTATGTTGAATGTATAGTGTATATCAATCTGAAAAAATTAAATTATTCGGTAATTTTGAATTTATATAAATTTTAATGACGAAAATTTATACAAATGATTGTGTTGATTTTTATGATTTACGCGTTAAATGAACTATTATAAAGGCTTAAAATCAAATTCGAAGTAATATAGTTTTCTTGAATTAAATTAGTCAAAAAATATTGATAAGACGCAATCATCGTTCTAGCTCTTAAATTTTAGAAAATGACGAAACGGCAAAATATGTCTCTTAATTTACAACAACTACTACTATATTTTTCGGTCTATCTATTACAAAAAATATTGTAGTGTATTTAAGCATTAACTTTCGAACTCCTTTTCTTATGTAAATTAACGTTACAAAACAACATGAATATCTCTTGAATTCTCATACTGAAATATTAGTACTATAATTTTTTCATTTATTTTCATAAATGGTGATCCTTTTGCACTCCAAGTTTGCCTCTCAGGCGCAACCCATAAATTACCTACAACTTTAATTACTAAAATTTCTGCCTCATAATATTTAGTAACCACTTTATTTAGTGGTTTATGTATTTTATGGTAAATGTTTGTCTTCTAATCTCTTAGTGATAGCGTCCGGTTCCTTAGACGTTTAAAAAATAACGAGTGCAAAGGGTTAACGAACTATTATTTACATTTAAGGAAATTCAAGAACTTCCAATTAAAATTTATAAATTTTAATATCTAACCAAGTATAACCTAAAAAGTTTTTAAAATTAAAAAAATTTAATCTATAACAGTATCAAAAATATGTGAGTAAAATAAAACACCTATTAAATTTGCAGGATTACTATTATTAACTTTTAAATAAAACCTGAGATTTTGTTAATTCACTTAAAATAATGTGAGGACTAAAAATAAAGTAGTTTTATTCTTCTTATTTTTACTCTTAAATTTTGTAGGTAAGCCCTGTCTCATACCTGCCTATTAGCTTGGGAAGATTTTACTGAACAATAACAAATAAATTCCAAAAAAATCGGAAGAATTTTAAAAAATTAAGCTACTTCGCCATCACATAAAAGCATCACAATCTAATAGATTTTATATTCATATATTTTAATTTTTCATTTGTTATGCAACTTGAAAAACCAAGGGTTAAATATTGATGTTGTTGCCGATTACCCAAACAATCGTACATTTTATCAGCTATACATACTTTTTACTTAATTTAAGTGGTCAGCTTTACATTGAATAACTTGAAAAGGCACAAAAAAATTTACATTTTAAATCAATAAAAAATCTAGTTATTTTTGTATAATTTATTTTTTCAATTGATTTTAACTTGAGTTTGATTCAATGAATTTTTAAAAAATAAATGTAGTGTAAACCATCAAGATTTCAAACTTAAATTGTCAATTTTTTGAAAAATTGAAACAAAATATTGTTTCATTTTGCTAGTAGAAAGATTTTCGTTAAAATTAATAATGATGTAATATGGTTCTGTAAAATTATCAACCTTTATAAGTACCAGTTCTATAACTTTTCCTTTTAGTTTCTTCTAAGATTTCTAATTTTCAAACTTTTAAAAAAAGTTTACATTAATTTAAAAAATAACTGTTGCAATTAAAATATGGTGTGATCTGTTTAAGAGGATTTTTAAGCATGCAATTTGTTTTTTCTATAAGAATATTATGCGAAATATGCTTATAAACAGTACCCTTTTGAGGTAAGTAAAACGAATTCCTTAAAATAATATTTTTATTAAGGCTGAGTTATTTTTGTTATTAATAGTTTCTAAATATTTCTCACGCTAAAAGAATATTTCTAAATTGAAATGCAATGTTATTTTGAAAAGCTCATAAAACTACTTAATTCAAACTCAGGAATTCCCTCTGTAATGTCTTTCAAATACATTTAAGCATAAAAGTTTCAACTTTTCTGAAATATAAAACTCAAATGCCAACGTTATATATAAGAACTATAGAATATTTCTTCATTTAGAATGAATCATTCATTAGAATTACTCCGAAGTGTACAAAAGAACAGATACTATCATTCTTATTTAAAATCTAAGGTTTTAATTTCATGGTACTTGCCAAACTAACGCAAAAAGTAAGATCAGAACCAAAAAACGCTGTAATTTTAACCGATGCGCTTTGATAATAACTTTTGGTAAAATTAACAAGAATATGGTTTTATTATCATTCTGTATGGTATGGAATGTGGTGAAATTTGATAATTTTATGACGGTACCTTAGAGCATGGCATAAAGCAATTTATTTGGTTAAATTTACTTTTCAGTTTTGTATTTTTACTACATAAAATATGGGTTAATAAGAACTATAATTTTGGAAACCAAAACCGGTTGACATATGAATGAAAAAAATAATAAAATGAATAGTTAAAATACCGTATATTTTGGTTCTATTGCAAAAATTACGGGTTTATTTTTTACCAGAAATGTCATTATCATACAAGCACGGTAAATTATAAAGAATATTTCACTCCGAGTATAAATAAATAATAATTTCAATTAAAGAAAAAAGATTGATGAATTAAGTTTAAATTTATGATTATTTAAGGGGTATTATATTTTTCCAATGCTTTCAATCATATTATTTTTTTAAAAAATAAAACATTGATTCATAAATATTGAACTATCAAAAATGCAAAATCTTTCTTTTTAATGTAAAATCTCATATTTCTTTATTTTTAATCTTATTATCATTAAAGAAAAGGAAAAAAAAATGTTTTACCATTTGCACTGAACATTTTCTTGAAATGTCGCATCTAGCAATTACTTTTATAACTCTTATTTAACTAAACTAAAGTCACTAATTTTTATAAATATGATAGTACAAAGTGTGCTGCTTTTCTCTAAAAAATAAAATTAAATAAATATTTATTGTTTGTTTTTGATGATATTTTTGTTATTTTTATTTTATTAGAAATATTATCATGCTTTCATTATCTATTGGTGATGAATTATTTTAGCATTAGTAGTCCCTGCCTATTTTGCGTAGGTTTTTTAGAATTAGTTTTGTTTATGTATGCAAAATGTACTTTTGCAAGAATTATTGAACATTTGTTCAAGTATTATGAATCCGAATTATGTAAATAGTTATTTGTTTTTATGTTTGTATTATTAAGTGCTTTACACTTTTTATTAAGTAACTGATTAAAGTATTAAAGTTATATTCCGGATAATATTTTCAACAATTTTATATTACATACACTGAATAATTTTACCGCACAAAAAAAAAATGTGCTACTTGTTATAATTTGCTTTTCAATTATCACGCTTATAATTTTATTTTTAATCAGTTACTTCCAGATTTATTAAGTTATTGATTATTTTAGTCAAAGTTGTGTAAAACCAAATATGTGTTTTAAGTGATTGTGTACTACAGTTTATTATATGAGTTTCGAACGGCTGAATATCTACGAATTTTACTGAATTAAACGAACGTAAAATACTTTAAACAACTATTATTTGTAGAAGTACTAGCTGATGGATTAAAAATTAT